GTGACTTTACAGTGGTGAAACCCAACAAATGCCCTTAATCACCCCCGATGAGATGATGAGATGGACCGAGGTGAGCACATCACCCCTGGGGTGCTCCTCCCAAAAAGTCACACCCTCAATCTAAGTGTGAGGAAAGATCAAACTCACCCAAGCTGAGGGACCGTCTACAAAATACATAACCAGCATTCTCGGAGATGAGGGAGCGCTGAGGGACCGTCTACAAAATACATAACCAGCATTCTCGGAGATGAGGGAGTGCTGAGGAACCGTCACACACTGGCGAAGATTAGGGAGGCATGATGCTGAAGCAGTGCGGAATCCTGAACTGGAAAGGGACTTCAGTGGGAAGAAGCAGTGAGCTCTGACTAACTCCGTAGTTTAGTTAGCAGTACCCAGTCAGTGTTTTGATACTCGATTCTTAGTTTTGAGAATTGTACCGTAGTTAGGTACAACGTCAACATTAGAGGAAGCTGGTTAAAGGGCAACTCTTCTGTACATCTAAAAGTATTTTAAAATTAAAAGTTAAAAAACCCAGAGTGAATCCAATATTGTAAGGCGTAAGTTTTATGACAGGAGAAAGGCAAGCACAATTCTGAGGTGCAGAGCACCCGGAATTTCAGGGGTTAACTTGCAGATCAGGGAATCAGAGAAGACATCAGACTAGATAGACGTTTGCCTTCCAGCAAGGCCAGGCTGGATCTGAGTCTGGCAGAGAGAGAGGGAGGATGCCCCAGTGGTGGTTTCCACAATGCTTTTCCAAAGTCAGATGACAGCGTGGGGTCTTGTGTCACTCGGTGTTGTCGTGAGACTCTGTTCTGTGTGTGCACAGTGGCTGCTGACACGTGTGGCATTCAGGCATTTCATGAAGGAAGGAATTAATTTGGTTAATGTGAAATGTGAATATAGTTCGTTTCACTTGAATAAGTGACAAGAGGAAACAGACCCTGCGTTTTGGATTTCATCCTCCTGCTCACCCTCATTTCAGTATTTGCATTTAAACAGAAAGCCACATCTGAATGAGGCATATTACCCAGATTCTTATGAAGAAATAAAAAGGCTTTTATTTTTAAGTCCCTTCCATTACCACATCTTAAGCTTGACAATTATTAACTTGTTCAAAAATAGCTCCTTATCACTGTGCCAGGGAAGGACATAAAGGTGGTGGTTAACAGTGAGGGCTCTGTCACCAGACGTGGTTTCCATCCCAGTTCCTCGGCTGAGTAACCAGCTGTATAACCTCTGGCAAGGTACTTAACTTTCTACCCTCACTTTCTCCTAAAATAAGGATACCTCATAGGGTTATTAAGAAGAAATCATTGTCAGAGAGCTTAGATCAGCTCCTGGCACATAATGAAGCACTTTCATAAGAGATAAGAATAACATATTCATTTAGCAAAACCTTTATCAAACAGCTATTGTCTGCAGACAGCTAGAAGGGCTAGAAGTACAAACTGTCATTCCCCCATTCTCTGCTCTCAAGAAACGCAGTGTGACGAGGGGGAGGGACGAGTAAAGTAACAGCAGCAGGGGCAGCGGCCCTCTCCTGAGCTCCTGGGGTCTTTCAGGACCATCCTCCATATTATCCATATGCCAATGCACGGCAATTTCATGAAATGGAGATACTTTCTCCATTTTGCAAATAGAAAACCAAGGCTCCAGAAAGTTAAATAATTTGATCAAGCTTACATAGCTAAGTAGAAAACCCAGGATTTGATCCCAAATCTGCCTGACTCCAACCCGTTCATCAGATGATTACAATTAGAATATTTGGAGTGCTTTGACACAGTCAGAGGAGACCTCTACGGATGTGACGTTGTAATGCCATAGTGAGCCTGAGTGTCTTTTGGTGTTTCTTTTAATGTTTCTACAGAATCAAGTTCCTACTTTCCTCAGTTACCTACAGAAAATAGAAATAAATAGGTATTTAAGCACGACCCTTCTTGTACAGGAATAGGAAGCTTTACAGAGCAGATCTGTAAAGCTCAGCCCAGTGCAGCTTTCCTAGCTCTTGCTTTCGTGCCTGTGAAGAGGCCAGTGAGAAGGGTCTTCTCAGCAAGAGTGATACAGAGACCAAGCCACCCACCTAACCAGCCTTTGTTCCAGTCACTCCTTGGAGTCCATTTTCCCAGGGTATGGGGAAATTTGGTGAAGCAGCTCTATAAAGTGCTCTTTGAGACATTAAAACTTAGACCTCCCATTTGATCCTGCAATCCCATTACTGGGCTTCTACCCAGAAGGAAAAAAAAATCATTTTATCATAAGGACATTTTTACTAGACGTTGATTACAGCTCAATTTACAATTGCCAAATTGTGGAAACAACCTAAATGCCCGCCAATCCAGGAATGGATTAACAAGCTGTGTATGTGAGTGCCATGGAATGCTATACAGCCACTAAAAAGAATGGTGACTTTACATCTTTTGTATTAATTTGGATGGTGTTGAAATACATTCCTCTTAGTAAAGCATCACAAGAATCGAGAAGCAAGAATCCAGTGTACTCAATTCTGATATGAGGATAACTGATGCGAGTACAAGGTGGGGGGGAGAGGGAATGGGGGAGGGGAAAGGAGTGAAAGGGTGGGGCCACCACAGTGTGTGACACAGCTCTTGGGGGCTGGACACTATTAATAGAGGAACTTCATTCAGCAGACATAAGCAGTATAATCTGACTCATTGTACCCTCAATGATTCCCCAACAATTAAAAAAAAAACTTATCGATGCTATTTACAAAGTATCTTCTTCTTACACACACTAAGACTCATCCTGTGATTATGGGGTTGGGTTGGGTTTGGTTTGGTTTGAAGTGTGACTATTATTATACCTATTTCAGGATCTGCAAACACACTGTTAAATTAGCATTTTCCTCTTCAAACTTCATTTGACTATCTCATCCTTAACTCATTTGAGACTATTATTTTTGTAGAAAATTGGAACAATACATCTCTATCTGTCCATATGGGATAGGATTCGATAAGAACAGTTACTCACAGAGGTGGAATTGGGAAGCAGAGGCCTTTCTGATGGTCATTCTGGAAAAGGACTATGGGACGGAGCAGAGCTCATGTTGTGGAGAGAACTCACTGCACCCGCCCGGCCTCTAGCTCTTGGATGGGACCCTGGTGGTCTCCAGGTTCAGGCCTGTCTGAGGCCCTTTCCGCACATGCACCCTCTTTTCTCTTCTGAACCCTTCTTCTCCCTCTGCACCTTTCTACCCTCCTGTCTCTTCTCCCAGGACCTTTTTCTCTGAAAGGTACCAGTTGGCAATAATGGTTTCACAGAAGAAGGGAGAAGATATTTCACGTTTACTACGCTCTAGGCCAGGGGCATCTAACCTTTTTTTTTTCTCTGCTGACATTGGAAGAATTAGCGTTGTGTTGGGCCACACGTTAAATATGCAAACACTAAGGAAAGCTGGTCAGCAAATAAAAAAAAAGGTCCCTGCAGACTTTTGTGATACCTAACACCACAGATGAGCAAAAATAAAGCCCTCACAAAATCATCATGCGGCCCACAGGACCCAGGTTGGACACCCTGCTGGGCCTTTTCCATTGTTAATCTCGTTTAGTCCTTAGGGCATCCTATCTGGATAGTGGATGATCCTACATTTATAGAAACAGAAGCTAAGGCTCAGGGAAGTTAAATAACACTCCTAGAAGACTTGAAGTTAGAACTTGGCAAAACAGAAATCAGCTCTAGTTCTCATAACGTCGCAGGCCGCACTCCTCCATGAAGCTGTGGTGGTGCCGTCGTCACTGTCACCACCACTGCTGCTGTTTGCCACCAGCGAGCTGGGAGAAGGCTTTGCCTGAGGTGGATAAGCATGTGTGGTCCCAGCGTGTGAATAGAGTATGTGAGCTTTTGTGAACACATTGGACCCTCCTAACAACCTGCTGACTAGGTCTATTTATTATTTCAGCTTTACAGAGGGGAAACTAAGACCCCCGAGTCACAGCCAGTGAGTCTGGTGGTGGAGGCTCGCTGCAGTCCCCGCGGGGCATCTCGTAAAGCTCACTGTGCACACAACGCTGCGCCCCAGCTGGGCATAGAGCCTGTTCCCGTCACCCAGGCAGTGTTCTGCAGGCAGGAGTGTGTAACAACACAGGACCACATGGGTCTGTCTAACTTACAGAACAGGAGGAATTTGTTTCTTCCCTAAGAACACGAGACTGTAAAGGCTCAGTAAAAGAATATAAGCTTCCATGTATACCAAAGCTCAGGGAATTACTTGTGTGCGTACTGAAGGCATCTGAGTAGAGTATTTTCAGAGCACATTCCGTGTAGCACAGCTATAGGTCCAGTATGACTCAGATTATAAGGGGAAGGCCGTTAACTATTTTCAAGTACATGAATAATGCTATTGCATTCCGTAAATGAGTAGATAGTCATGGTGCTCAGTGGCTGAGCCGAGCATGGTGCTCATATGCTAATGAGCTGTTGGTTGACTGTAAGCCTAAAACAGGATGTGTGGACCCACACAGAGTTTTTACTTAGGAAACTGTTCAGTTGCCTTGCTACCCTGGGGTAACGGCTGTAAGAGCAGCCAGTCTCTTGGTCACGTTTAAGTGAATATCTTAGAGTTAGTTTGACTTCCTTGTTGTTTTCCTTATGGATCGAATAAGCTAAAGAGTTCCCTCTCAGTCGATGATTAGGAAATGGAAATTCTGAGCTGCTCAGATTCAAGTTGGTTGTCCACAGCAGTGCATTTTCTTTCAGCCTCAGACATACATGGTTTATTTTTAAGTCTTTCTCTAATCTCTCACTGTCTTTAAGAAGGAAACTTGATTCACTTACACTTCCATTCAACAATATTTATGGAGTACTATTCACTAGTCATTGTACTAAGTGCTAGGGACATCACAAAATAGACGTTATCCCAGCCCTCCCATCAACACAAAGTAGCGATATTGTTAATATAGTACATTACAAGGTTTATTACAGAGAAACTTAGTAGAGTTTGAGAGCATAGATGAAAGTAACATTTATTTCTATCCCAATAGATTTCGGTTTTGGAAATTTCTTTAAAAGTGGTGAACTACTGGCAACGTGGTGTGGCAGCCCCCCTTACGCAGCCCCGGAGGTCTTTGAAGGGCAGCAGTATGAAGGACCACAGCTGGACATTTGGGTATTCCTTTGCTTTGCTGGGTTGTTAAATGTATCTCTAATGATAATACATGTGCTTGGTGCCTTTGTCCATCTTAGAACCTCCTGGTACTTAGCACATAAGTAGTACGTCATATTTTCCCCATCTGCTAGTCTAGAATTAGTTAGAGCACCTTAAAAACAATCCCTAGGAAAGAATTTCTAGGGATAGATACTATAATGTGAGCTATAATTTAAAGTTTAGCAGTCAAAATGATCAAATTCAGATCTTTTGGTATTAAAAGAGTTTTTTTTATAGTCGTGAAGGTTTCAGATTCTTTTTTTCAAATTCTGAGAAAATACTAAATTCAGACAGGAATTTTTCAGTCCATATGATTTCAAGAGCCCTGGGAATGTTTATGAAAGAGTTTTTGAAGTTCTCAGTAGAAAAGTGACTGCATCGTTTCCCCCTAGAGCATGGGAGTCGTTCTTTACGTCCTTGTCTGTGGAGCTCTGCCTTTTGATGGACCAACTCTTCCAATTTTGAGGCAGAGGGTTTTGGAAGGAAGATTCCGGATTCCGTATTTCATGTCAGAAGGTAACAAGCTGTTCATCTTGCTAAAGGTGCTCTCTCATGTGTGTGTGTGTGTCTCCAAATGAAATGCCCAAATGCCCAAGGAAAAGCTTCCATTTCTCTGAGATTTGGGATGGGAAATAAAGTGAGTCATTTTAAAAGCTATAGAAATAAGCAACCCCCTCTATGTAGGTGAGAAAAGTTCCAGCCTTCCTACTCGTAGCTAAACACAGAACATTACCAGATAAAGAGCAGCGAATCTTCCCATTCACTCTGAGTCTATAAAGGTCTCAGGTTTATTTTAGACTTAGTGAAGCACGTTGTGGGTACAGATTCACAACATTTTACTCTAAGTATTAAATGAAATTTGCAAAAGTTTTTAAAAAATTAATTAAATTAAAAACAAACTGGCCAAACTGCTGGATTAACATGAAATGCCATAATCTGCCTGTCTTGGGCGGTTACCTAGCTAGCAGTTAAGTTTACTCCTTGTTTCACTTTGGTTATTGTTCTTAATTCTTTTGCTCCTACTAATGATAGAAATAATGCTCTTAGTCAGTGGTTCTCAACCTTCCTAACGCCGCGGCCCTTTACTACAGTTCCTGTGGGTCGCGACCCACAGATTGAGAACCGCTGGCTCTTAGTGGCAAAGAGCACGGGCTCTGCAGCCACACTGAGTCCACTACTTACTGGCCGTGACCTTGGTTGGCAGTTTCATCTACTCTCTGTGCTTCAATTTCCTCATCTATAAGATGAAAATAACAGCAGTTCCCATCTGAGGGGCGTTGTGAGAATTAAATAAGTGAATCTGTATAAAGCGCTCAGCACAGCGCCTAGAGATAGTGAGTGACAGAAGGTCAGTGGTGAAGACGGTCTCGTCAGCTCAGAAGAAGCCAGTGCTGAAACTTGCAGCAGTGCGGTGTTGTTGGTGTAATCAGGAAGTAAACACTATTTTGCATATTTTTCTCAGCTGCACTGAACGGGAAGAAAAGCAACAGCCCTTAGGAGAGCTCTCTGCCTCACTTGCCTGGCCTTAGTGTATCAGCCTTAAATATGACTAAGGATTACGTTGTTACTTGCTTGTCCTGGGAATGAGGCTTGTTTGTTTTCTTTAGTGGAAGCCTTAGTCTTCGTGTAGATATTTTCAGTTGGGAAATTCAGTAGAAGGGTTCACTTACCCCGGAATCTGATAGACCCACACCCTCCTGTTTTTCCTGAGTGTTCGTTTGTTCACCATGTGAACTTGGCAGATGCAAGTCGGCTTCATGTATTCACTTATTCATTTGACCTTTGCTTGTCAGTGGAGGACACAAAGATTAGCACCGTGGTACAAAGTCATGTGCGTCAAGCAAATAACACTGACGTCCCAGGTGATCTGGGTGACTTCTGTAACATTGTGGTTTCTGTAGATTGTGAGCACCTCATTCGAAGGATGTTGGTCCTAGACCCCTGCAAACGGCTAACCATCGCTCAGATCAAGGAGCACAAGTGGATGCTCATAGAAGTTCCTGTACAGAGGCCTGTTCTCTATCCACAAGAGCAAGAAAATGAGCCGTCCATCGGGGAGTTCAACGAACAGGTTCTGCGCTTGATGCACAGCCTTGGAATAGACCAGCAGAAAACCATCGAGGTAAAGTGCTCAGGGAGTTGATGGGAGATATGGCAGGTTGAGTTGCGCTTAGGTACTTGGGATTTCACACTCACACCTGTCATCCGGGTCTGTCCCCAGCCTTAGGCAGACCATTCAGTGTTCCCTATTGATTACGTCAGACTCTACGTACAGTTCCTTTTATTCAGTGTCTAAATTCCTTTCTTGGTTCCGTCTGCCAAAAAATTCAAGAGGAAGCATTTGTAGAAAATCCAGAAAGGGCCAGGATGGAAGCTTTATTAAATATAAGACCAAAAGTCTTTAGCAGCATGAAGCATGACGTTCCATGCAGGAGTGCAGCTGGAATAGTTTGTACGGAATGTGAATGAGCAGAGAGGAATGCTGTGAAGGGCCCAGCAGGAAACAAGAAGTGGGGGCATCAGGATTAGGAAAGCCAGTGGGGTTTAGACTGGAGAAACTAAGAAGATGAAAACATGTGGGGTCCTGGTTTGGGAATATTAGGGGTCACAGAACTGAGAGGGTCATGAACCTGGAAAATTCCTGTTGGCTTTTATTTCCGTCCTCTAAAGTAGGCATACTGATAGGGTATACATATCATTAATACCTCCACAATAGCAAAAAACAAGAGGAAGTGTAACAAGCAGGAATATCAAATGCCCCCTTACTTGCTGTGAAAGACCAAGGCTCCAGACCGTGGTACCCTTTCCCTCGTTGTAACCGTAAGTGAAACCAAACTGCAGTCCCTGCTCTGCATCTTGTGGCTCAATGACATGTTTCTGTGCCGTCCGTGAGGTAGGCCCAAAGGGCAGCTGTGTGGGCACTTCCTCTGGCCTGGGATTGTCACTGAGAGTGACCCCCACGCACCCATGCACGCTGTCAGGTGGAATTAGAAGCCGAAGGAACAGTTGTTTCCCTGTTTCCTTAGTTTCCTGGGAAAGCTGGCAGGCTAGAGATGTGAAAATTTGGGAAGCAACTTATTTTCAAGGTTTCAAGAGGGTGGGACTGCAAAAACAAGAGGAAAAAATTACCTAAGAACAGAGACGGTGTTTCTCAGTTTAGCGTCCAGATGTCATTTGCCAGCCCGTAGTAATGACCAGAAAGTTCCCCCAAGGTTTTAATCACTCACTTCAGAGTTGTCAATGGTTTGGACTTGGGTTAAAGCCCTGGAATTAGAGCCCCAGGCTCAGGTTGCTAACTGACCTTCTACCATAGTTACAGCCATGAGCTGGAACCACATGGCAGCAGCAGGGGGGAGTGTCTGCATAGGACGATGAAGGCATGTTCCCTGAGTGGAGAAAAATAAATGGATGCTGTTAATGTAGAAGGGCCAGTCAGTTCATTTGATGGTATGACCCTTCATGTAATTAACACTGGAGACTTGCATTTTCTGCTTTTAAGAGTACAGGACTTCCAGTGTTACGGCTCTTTTAGAATTTGCCTAGCAGGTTTTCCAGCCTCTACCAGAAGACCTATTAAAACTAAAAAAAATAAAAATAAAAAGAATACATGATTTCCTTCCTCTTTTTGAAGGAAGGTCTAGATCACCGAATTACAGTTCTCTGCCTTCAGCGCTTGTTCTCTCTCTCAGTCTTTGCAGAACAAGAGCTACAACCACTTTGCTGCCATTTATTTCTTGTTGGTGGAGCGCCTGAAATCACATAGGAGCAGTTTTCCAGTGGAGCAGAGACTTGATGGCCGCCAGCGTCGGCCTAGCACCATTGCTGAACAAACAGTTGCCAAGGTAACGCCCCCTTAGCCAACAGTCTCATCTGTGCATGTGCCTGTGCACGCGCTTGACACATTTTTCATCTTGAACTACAAAGAGTTCGGATTTTATCCTCCACACTTGTTTTTCTATAAAGTTTCTGCCTGTCATTCACTAGATTCTCAAATGTTTCAGCACCTTCCTGTTTTTAAGGATTAACTTTATTTCAGGCAGGTTTTTTTTTTTTTTAAGAGAAGTTTCATTTTGTTATCATTCACTTATCTTGAGCTTTACTGTAACTAGCCCGTGTATGTAGTTTCATGTAACAGATTTTTACTGCAGATTTACCACGTGTAAACTTGTGTTAGGTACTATCAAGGATAGACATATGTAAGATACAGTCAATCCTAGCCTGGGTGCGGTGGCTCCCACCTGTAATCCCAGCACTCTGGGGGGCCAAGACAGGCAGATTGATTGCTTGAGCTCAGGAGCTCCAGACCAGCCTGAGTAAGAGCGAGACCCTGTCTCTAAAAATAACCAGGCATTCTGGCCGGTACCTGTAGTCCCAGCTACTTGGGAGGCTGAGGCAAGAGAACTTGAGCCCAAGAGTTATAGGTTGCTGTGAGCTGTGACTCCACGGTACTCTACCAAGGGTGACATAGTGAGACTCTCTGTCTCAAAAAAAAAAATACAGTTACTCCCCTCAGCAAGGCTTACTCTGTAGATGTAAAATAAGACAAGGTCATAAATAGCTGTGGTTCAGAAGATGATGAGTGCTATAGAAGAAGGGAGAGCCGGGCTTTGTGGAGAGCTGGTGTTTAGGACCCATCTTCACAGAGGTGTAGGACTTTGTTAGGGAGAGCCGGGCTTTGTGGAGAGCTGGTGTTTAGGACCCGTCTTCACAGAGGTGTAGGACTTTGTTA